CATTACATGATACATATTAAGTAATTCTCTGGATGTCTTAGTCAGAATTGAGGAAAATTCCACACATATACTTAGTGAAATGAGGCTTACAAGGCCTTTAGTTTTCTGGGAAAACAAAATGAAAACTAAGGGGAAATTATTATGAGATATGAGGGGGAAATGTGAATGTCTGTTCTTTGGAGATCGTTGGTAACTAGTAAGGTGTGACTTTGTTCTTGACTTGAGCAATTAGATGACATGCTTTGAAAACCCCATATGCTAGAGATGAAAAGAACATATGATGTCTCTTCCATCATTAAAACATTGCACTTCTATAAGAGCAGAAATGCTTCAGTGTGCGTTAGTAAAAGAGCAAACAAACAAACAACCCATGGGAACTTGTGGCATGCAAGAGTCTTCCATCCGAGGTGTGGTGTTTCAGGCAGTGTCTGTAGGTATCCCACGGTACCAGGACATGTGCAAGCAAAATACACATGCTGTGTATTTAGAATCATGGATGTAGGAAAGTATGTGATACAGCTGCCAAGACATCTCAATTATACCTCACTAGTTTTTGAATTAATTTATGGTTATGTGCACCAAGAAATCCTTTGCCAAATTCTTTCCCAATTTTTTGTAAATCCACAGTTGTGACCTGTAAGTTAAGAAAGCCATAGTTTACACTGAACTGGGTTTTCAATTGCATCTTATTGTATTTAATAAAGTGCAATGGGACGTGGACATAACATGTGGCTTCCCTAATTTTCAGAATGCAATACTATCTTGCGTATAGCACTAATATTCAATGTACTTCTATTCACTCTAAAAACAACACTAGGTATAAAGAGGAATTTGCAGAACAGAGACATTTTGTATGTATGATTGCATACAGGCACATGAATGCAGAGACATACTAATTTCTAGATTATTTGTGATAATTTAAGAACTTTTTATGTACTTAAATATAGGACAGAAGTAGTTTATACCAATATTTGAAAAATTAGTTTTAAGAATATGATGTGTTACTAAGTGTTGTATTTACTTATTCATTTACTTATTATATGTATTTACTGGGTGGGGGGAGTGCTCACCATAGTATGTGTGTGGGGATCTGGGTACAACTAGCAGGAGTGGGTTCTCTCCTTACACATTGTGGGTCAAGGTGAGCAAACTCAGGTTCTCGATCTTGTTGGGAAGAGCCTTTGCTTGCTGAGTCATCTGACCACCCCCAAGGAGCCTTTTTAAATGATTTGTTTGACTAGTTATTAAGAAAGACTATCTGGCCGGGCGGTGGTGGCGCACGCCTTTAATCCCAGCACTTGGGAGGCAGAGGAAGGCGGATCTCTGTGAGTTCGAGACCAGCCTGGTCTACAAGAGCTAGCTCCAAAACCACAGAGAAACCCTGTCTCGAAAAACCAAAAAAAAAAAAAAAAAAAGAAAGAAAGACTATCTGTAAGACACAGAATAAACATTTTATTTTTATCAGAACTTGAAACTTTTGTCTATTGGTTTTCAAGAATGCTCACATGATATGTCCTTAACATAGTGATATTTTGACAAATATTATGTATGGTTCAATTTATGTGTTATAGCAGGACCTGCCTATCTTCTTTGAGAGGCAGTAACAATGTGTTTTCCAGGTTATACCAAGTGATCTCTAACAGAAATAGGCCGTGTAAGCAACAGTCTCCCCAAATGCAGCGTTCATCTACTCGGGCATACTCTAGGTTACATGACATTCCTGTAATTTTTAATAAAATGGCCACTTTCTTATTTTGTGGCTATACAAAGACAATAGATGAGCCTCTATTTTAGAATGAAACTATATATTGTTTATCTAACCAAAGTTACTACATAGATGTTTCCATGGGCTACAAATGTATTTTTCCATTAAATATTTGGATCCTAATATTATTTTTCTCTCCATGCATATTGCTACACTAATGACAACCATGAGTTGTGTATATGAATCACAGTGTATCTTTATTTACCCGATTTCCCCTTTTTTCACTTCTGAGCTGAGCTGATTGTTGGCTATTTTCAGTTATTCATGGGCTTTTCTTCAATATACATTTTTGTAGTAATTTTGGCCAAATTCCATGGTCGATTTCTGTTTATTGATATTCGTAGGATTTCATCCTGAATATGTTTTCTACATTTTGTTTTCTCTTCCAATAGTTTTTTTTTTTAATTCTTAGATATTTTCTTTGACACTTATGTACACTTTTCTCACCTTGACCCTGGCCTCCTTATTCTCCTTCCACCTCTCTCCTTCCCCCCTTCCTCCTAACATGCCCCTTTTCTACATTCATATCTATTGTGTTATTTTGTGATCCACTGATTTTAACTAGCATTTTCTCTGTGACTATGACTTGGAAATGTCTCTTGGTGTGAGGGTGGGCTCCTGCATGGGTAAACAATTGAAAACAATTAAAAATTACTACCCTTCCACCAGAATTCATCTAACCAATTTAATTTCCCTTTGATCTATGATTGATAGTTGACAGACCTAACAGGTTCAGTAGGCAGCTTAAGTTGTGTAAACATGGGTGCGACAGCTATGCCATGCCTCGGAGTGTATTTGAAAGTTTTTCTCCCTCTATTCTTTCTGTCCTATTTTCCACAGTATTCCCTGAACCTTAGCGGGGATGGTACAAATGGCTTTTATAGGGTTGTGCATCCAACTGTCACCTATTTTCAGTATGGAAACCAACCACAATTGCTATATTCGTGATTATCATCGCAAAGAGAAGCTTCTCTGATCAAGCTGAGAGCAGTGATGTCTGAGGCCATAAACATGCATTGTCATTCTGTGAATTTAGTTAAACAACAGCATTTACCTCCTACCTAGAGCCTAAGACCTCCTTAGCCATGGATTTTTTTTTTTTAACTGAGTTTACAATACCTGGCATGGATTTCCTCCTGTGGAGCAACTTGCTGCAATGTTTTGTTCTATCTTGATGGTAATGAAAATAATGCATTTTGTCAAGTACACAAGCTCTTCTCGGGAAATAGCAGGTGAACTGTATTTGCCTAGGATTTGAATTGTTAAATCTTTCTCATGTTGACAAAACTTTATGATGTCCTGTCCTGAACAATATTAAACAAACAAAAAAGAAAGAAAGAAAGAAAGAAAGAAAGAAAGAAAGAAAGAAAAGTTTGCTGCAGTTACCAAGTGGTTCGTGGTCAGCAAATTTGACCTTCCAAACCTCCTTTCTTGCATGGGCTGATTCATAAATGAGGGGCATGATAACATTCAGTGTAGGATAGGATTTGACAAGAAAAGTGAAATAAAAATTCTGCTTCCACAGTCAGCATTTGTGAAGGAGGCATGAATGGAAATTCTCTTTTGCTTTAATAGTGGAAAAGAGAATTTTTTTTTCTCTTAAGACTTTGGATTTGTGTCAAGTACTCTTTTATTAAGTTATGTCAAGATGTTGTGTAAGTATGCCACACATTTGCATAAGTATTAAAATAATTCATCATGATTAATTCAATTACACTAAATCTCAGCTTTAATCATATACTATAGTGATTTGCCAGTATTTCCCCTTTTCCTGGGGTTTTGGTGGAGGTACAGATTTTGTAACAGCAATATAGTCACGTGAGTTGCTGTGATTAGTGCAGTTCCGAGGAGATCAATATGGATTCATCAGCTTCAGATGCATGATGAAAAACACTTAAAATTGCTCCTGAAAGGGTATGGACATTTAACCTGAGAAGTGGATAAACTCTTGATGAAAGACAAAAGGGGAAAACTGGAAGAGGTAGGGAGTGAGAGAACCTCAGATGCCTGAAGGTCCGAAAGAAACAAGACAATCACATTGTCTTAGAACCACTCAGAAATCTCTAGGGAAGAGGGTGGAGCTGTACCATGAGATTTCAGGCAATTGCACATCGTCAGATTCAATGTGTGGAACTGAGGAACCCCATGTGAAAACATATGACTGACAAGGAGCAAAACAGCCTTAGGGACATGGGAAACTGACAATGCCTTCCTTACAGGTCAGGATCAGTGGACGGAAATGCCTTCTTCAGACCACAGCAGGGATGTTGATAGAGACTGTGAATCATTTCCAAATGATTAACTAGTGTGTGCAAAACTCTCATCTATAGCTTCCTCTTCTGGGATGGTTATAGTCTGAGATTGCTGCCACCAGAGACCTCCTGCAGAGGTTAGCTAACTTCTCCCCTTTGCTATAGATAATAAATGCACCAAGGTTCCTGGTTGCTGAGTATTTGGCAGTGCTTTGTCAGAGGTATACAGTTGTCCTGACCCCAGTTTTTCTGTACTTGTGTCTGTGTGTCTGTCCTTTCTTCATTCACTCAGTCTGATTTCTGGGACCCAAGCTACACAGGACACAGTAGACACAGTAGGGATAGAATGAGACTCAGCATCAAAATAGGCTCAGTAATGCTAATACTTCCTATAACTAAGGGAAGTCAAGAGTTTTCCTTTTATTTGCTCTGTGTGTGTGTGTGTGTGTGTTTAAGTGGGTGCATGTATGTATGTGTGGTTTCACATTCATGCACGTATGTCTGTAGGAAGGTGTATGTAAATGCTAGTACAAGTGCACTTATGTGTGCATGTGGCATATATATGTATATGTGTTTTTGCACATTTATGCATGCATACACTTTGCAGGAAGATGCATGTGTTTGGTGGTACAAGCACAGTTGTGTGGGCATGTGGAGCTCAGACTACAAGCCCGATTGTCATCCTCATGAACCATAACCATCTCTGGGAGTGAGGGTCTTTCTCTCACTGAGATCCTGATCCTACTAATAAGGCTAGATTGTCTGTCCAGTGAGCCCCTAGAATCCTCCTGTCCCCACCTCCCCAATGCTAAGATTAAAGGTACTCAACAGAACTCACAATTTTTACGTTAGTGTAAGGAATCAAACTCAGGACCTCAGACTTACATACTGAATGAGCCATCCCCCTAGACCTGTGAATTCTTTCTCAGTCATGGGTTTCTATAATTTCATTCATAATTCAACACCTCTCTTTTATACCTCAGATCTTGATCGTGGCTTCAGTTGGAGATGGCTTCACTGGTGATATTGCAATTGATGATCTGTCATTCATGGATTGTACCCTCTACCCAGGTAAGAGAGCACATTTCCAAATCTGTTAATTTGGAAATACCTTTTGGGTGTGGGGCTCTCTGCAAACTCCCCAGGGCAATGGTCCCTGCAATAATTTTGGGGGGAAATGGCTCCTGACAAATAAATACTTCATATTCAGGAGTAAACTCAAGTGCCCTCGTTTTTGCAGTTTCTTAAATATATTAACACTGGAAAAATAGAGTATATCTCTGCTAATAAATAGTCTTAAAAAATAAAACATAGAAAAGCTGTTTGAATCTGTTTTTAATCACTTGTCATATACAAAATACTAGGAAGTCATATCTGATGTTATGATTTTTGTGAGACTTAAGTGATTGTAAAAAAAATTATTCCAACGTAGTAATTATTGAGTTGTTTTTTAAACTTCATTAGCATCTCATTCATCTTCAGTGACACTGGTATTCTAAATTTAGGATGTATTCTTAACTCTTCCTAGAAACTGTTTACAACCTATCGTTTCCGCATTTTTCATTTATATCTATTGAAAAGAGACTGTTCCAAAGATATATGTCTTCACTTGCTTTCTCCTAACCTCCATATCTGTGCTCAACATCTAATAAGAATCACAGTGATAAGGAGGAAAACCACTAAGATTTAGAACAGCCCAGGCTTGGAACATGGTATGGAGAAGGGGATGCTCCTATTCTACAATGCACAGTAGGCTAGAAAAAACTGGCAGTGAAATTCATAAATGTCACTCTGGTACTCAGACTGGATGCTCTTAAATCAAATGACATGGGAGACAAATGTCACTTACTGACTTTACTGGGACCCAAGAGTACCTGATTTGTTGATATCATTTTGTTGTGGTTTGTTTGTCTTTTGAAATAGGATTTCTCTTTGCAGCACTCACTGTCCTGGAACTTGCACTGTAGATCAGGCTGGCCTCAAATTCAGAGATCACCTCTGCCTGTCTCAGTGCTGGGATTAAAGGCATGAACCACCACACCAGCCTAATTGTAGAAATTTTAACTCAGCATTGTCCCCTCAAAATGGCTTCCCTATGTGAAAGACCTTATAGCATGTTTAGGGGCTGCACCCTGCTTCCTTCTATGTAGTTGGGATCTTTCCCCATCTCATCATTCTGTCAGTGGTGTCTATCTATTCCACAAAACACTACACAAAGTTAAATCTTTCTATGGATGCCCAGTAAGAAGGCAGATTCACCACTCATTCATATTTTGGTAAACGTGCCCATTCCATATGCATATGCCTGGTCATCTTTTGGCTCAGATCTATCTAGAACCAACTCACTCATTTGCTCTTGCTCAAAACCAGCTTTGTTTCGAAGAGGATTATTCTATTTGCCTTGTAAATGTTTTGTTGTTTTTTTATTGCTATATTAATAAGTAATGTTTGGGAGTCAGATATTAGTGCATAAATCTGATAGGTACACAGAGTGACAAAGAAAAGGATCAGCTGACCTTCTCTCCACCTTCTCATTTAATGAAAGGAGCCTTAAATCTTTCCTAGCCCCTCCCCCCTTATGCCTCTCTGAGTCTCTCTATCTTCCTATGAGTTCACTAGAAAACACCATGGTTCATTCCAGCCTGCTGAATGTGGGCTCCACCCTGCAGACTCATGGCCCAACTCCATTGGAGGTCTTGAAGCAACAATACAAACAAGTCTCCCATAACATTTTCCCTTTTTTGACTAATAAAAAAGAACTACTTCATTTAAGTCTAACATAGTAAAACTATATGCAATAAGAACAACTATATAATACTTACATCTACAATGTTCAGTCCATGTGTATTAGGCAAGCGCAGAAGAACTACTTCATTATCTATTCTCTCTTGGAGACTTCCAACTTTTGTAATGAATTTCCTTTCTGTAATAACTAAGAAAAACTGTAGCTATGACTATTTAGTCTTCCACCCCATCAGAGACCCCAGAAAGGGTTTTAAATGCCATATTTTATTGCTCTCTGAGATATTTGAAGAATATCCATCTATTTAAAATATATCTCTTTTACCTTGACAACATACCTAACAGGACTCTAGGTTTGGTTGTTCTAGATGCCTAACTAACATGTCATTCTTTATTATCCAAAATAGCTTTCAAAGACTAAACATTACATTACATTTTAAAATGAGCTGCCTACTGATTGCTCTTTGGGCTGACGAGGGAGGGGGACTTGATTGGGGGAGGGGGAGGGAAAGGGGAGGCAGTGGTGGGGAAGAGACAGAAATCTTTAATTAATTAATTAATAGATTAATAAATAAATAAAAAATAAAAAATATATACAAGGCATAAAAGTAGCAGGAAAGGGATCAACGGGAAGGGGGATATGAGAGGGTAACCAGAGTTGAAAGTAACCAAAGTACATTATATGCACAATACACAAATGAGCACATCAAAATAAAACCCACTAGTCTATGTAATTACAATATGCTAATAAATTTTTAAATTGTAAAAAAAATGAGCTGCCTAGATACAATGCTTTAAATAAGAATAGAAATATATATTAAAACAAAATTACATTAAAGTTGTATCAATCTACAAAAATATCTTAAGAATAGAAACATTATACATTATAACAAAAATCATATTAAATTTGTATCAATGTACAGATTTAGAAGATACAGAAATATCTTAAACAAGAGTAGAAGCATATATGCAGTATAATAAAAATAACCTTAAATTTCTATCAATATAAAAAAACTCATACCACTGTGAAATGCTTGAGACAAGTAATGTTTTTTAATTTGAAAGTTGATTCAATAATCTACATTCTTTATCCAATTGTTTCTATATCCCACCTTTTTTCTCTTCCTGAATCTAATCTCCTTTGCTTAGTTTCTTCTCTGACCATGATCAATAACCACTTGCAGTCAAGCCCCTTAAATGATGACAGCATTCACCAAACAACCAAAAACTACTACCCCATCTCTTGAGAATGTGGACATTGTGTCTTTAAAATTATTTTCTACTGTCTAGAGGAGATGACATCTTTAGGGAACCCTGAAAAAAACTGAGATAAAGACCAAGTCCTGGGAGAGCTTGCTGTTGTCCAGTCTTGGTATGGTGGGAAAGTACAAGGCTTATCTGAAGTTCTGGCAGGAGTATTCTGTGATGCTGGGCAATTTTAATTAACTACCTTGATATTGTCCTAAGAAGTTTGTAGTTCAAAGCTGATTTTGATTGGTATTTGTCATCATAGTGGCATTACCACAATTCAGGTGGGATCATCATTGTGAGGCCCCATCATCCTTTTGGAGACTTCAAAAGTCTCTGATAGGAATGGTCATGATTCACTGCAGAATACCTAAACATTTTAAATATCATATGCAACAGATCTTGGAGAGGTAAAAGGACAACAATCTATTTAATACATAAGAGATTCACAAGCCTAATTTCTAATTACCTATTTTGAATTGACACCTGAAATCCTACACAGGAGGCTAAATCAAGTTTATTTCTAGAATTATTTAATACCTTATATGACCATTAATATCATGACAAAAAGTTTAAATATATATAATTTTTATAAAGTTTGAGATAATATTTATATCTTATAAAAGTTTTAAAGAGTCAAAGTAAAACGAACAGATTATGAGTTGCCAATAGAATAGTCCCTTCATTTTGTTTTTTCTTCGGTTCCATACCAGGTGACTCTTCTGAAATGAAACAGAGGTCTTAGATTTTCCTCTAACAAGCATGCTTGGGTTTAGAGAAGAATAGAGTCACACTCCAACTCCAAAGCAAACCTTAATTTTTAATTGAGTTGGGACCACAAAAAGACCATTTGCCTTATATGTCTGTAGAGAAAAGCAGAAACAAACATTTGNATATAGTTGGAAATTAAGCATTAAGCCAATTTACTCTTTTTTCTTAGGGTTGGCTCTGGATTATTCATCTTTCTTCAGATGACTTATTTATCCATTGGTCTTTAGATATTTTTTAGTGGGATATTTTTCTTCTCCTGTAAAGACAAAAACAAAACCCTGCCCTAACCTTTACTTTGGGAAGTTTCCCTTTTTGGCAGTTTTTTTTTCTGATCAAATAAAAGACATTTATTGGTCTTATAAGTTAATTTATTGAAATGGCCATGTGGTTTGATGAACTATCACTTCTCCTAATCAACAGTTTTCTCCTGCTTTAATCTAACTTTTATCTATTTTGATAGTATTTTCTTCTCCTGTGGAAACAAAAGCAAAACCTCATCCCCAGTGTAAGACATAGTTTCCGTTCTGAGGTCAATACATCTTTAAAGTATACCGCCTGATTAAATTCAGCAGTTTTTTTCCCTAGTATCCAATATCTCTCCTGAACTTTTTGTTGTATCTGTAGAAGTTGTTCTGCTTAGTCATAGCCAGAGCTGTGTGGTTATTAACAACAGGTATTATGTCTTTTAATTGCCCTGTGGTTGAGTTTCTCTGATGCTGACAGGCCAACTTTGATATTAGAGCCTCCAGGAGGGCCCTCAGTGCATTCCCCATGGCAAATGGTTACCTTGCCTGTCCCTTGTTGATCTATATTCATTAGTTCAATGCTGACCTTTGCCATATTATCTGCATACTGCAGAAGGCTGGGACCCTCTGTTTGAATCATTTCTAGGAAGAACATTGTTTTTAGGAACATCTTGCCTCCAATCTCTTTTCAGATGACCTTGGTTACAACAAAAATTTTGATGTTTCTTAAAATTTCTAGAAATTACTTCTCCTACCAAAGCAATATCTTAAGTGTGAGATACAATAACAATAGTACTTCCAATTCTTTCAACTATTGGTACTGATCTTGCTATAAAAGACCTAATCATCTTTTTGCATTATGAATTAGCACTTTTTTATTTTTGTTTGTACTTTTGGAGATAGAGTTTCTCTGTGTAACAGTCCTGGCTGTCCTAGAACTCACTTTGAAGACCAGGGTGACCTTGAACCTACAAATATCCACCTGCCTCAGCTTCCTGAGTGCTGATATCAAAGGCATATGCCACCACTGCCCAGCCTCAATTAGCCATTTTAAATGCCAAAGAT